TTGCTAATGCGTTTGAGTTCTCTATGGATTCTGGTTATTAAACCTTTGTCGAAGACATAGCCTGCAAATATTTTCTCCCACTCTGAGGGCTGTCTGCTTGCCTTACTGTAGCAAATCTCTTCCTTATCTGCCATGGGGGAGCTCGTGAAGATGTTTTTATTTTAATTATTTAAAGACCCTACACTAATTTCTACCTGTTTTGAAAACTGATGTTCATTTTGCTTTAAAGTTTCTGAAGACATATTTTAATTCTTTTTTTTTTCCAGTTGTGTATGAACACAGATCAAGATTAGAGAAATCCTTGCAAAAGGAGAGACTTGAGCACAAGAAAGCCAAGGAAGGTAAATGCACGATGAGACCCGTGTCCTGTGCCTCTCTGTGTCCTGGCTTTACCTTTTTTTTTTTTTGCTAAGATACCTCTCAAATCAACCCAATTCAGTATTGTAGGTGCACAGAGAAAATGTCAAGTAACATGTTAAAGAGTGTGCGATAATTTCTGCTCAAGATTAGATTTAAAATCTTTATCATTCAGCTTGCGCCACCTTGAGGTGGCTCATATAGAGGTTATACATAATATTTCAGAAGTCAATAACTTTTCATTTAAATATTATACAGGTGTATTACTAATACACGGAACTCTGTCCATAGATACTCAGGAGGGAAAAGGAGTAACAACCCTTCCCTCCCTCCCTGCTCTCTCTCATCTATTCTCTCTTTCCTTTCTCTGATACAAAGTAAACTTAGACTTTTATATCCTAAAAAAAGGGAGTATTAACATGTATTTTCCAGAGTATGACCAATTTTATATATACACACATTTTTAATATAACAGAGTAATCCCATTATCTGGTATCTTTTAAGTTATGCTCCTGTTTTTGTCTCATGGAAGTTTTCATTTGGCATAGCTGATGGTTCAGCTAGAAAACCAACACTTAAAAATGGGTGTTAGGCAATACAGTTAAGTTTTATAAGAAATTTTCCATCAAGCACAGGCCTTATGCACCTCGTAACTTTCAGTTATCTGCATTTTTCTCTGAGAGTATCTCATTCTATTGCCCTCACTACAGTACAGTGGGGTCAGCCCCGCTCACAGCGCCCTCCCACCTTGGCTTCCCAGTGTGCTGGGATTACAGGTGTGAGCCGCCACACACAGTCTAAAGTTATCTGCATTCTAATATTTATTTATTTGGTCATGGCTTATGATAAATCTTAAAACAGAAGTTTCTCATCTGCCCACCCTCCTGGGGCAGGAGAGGGACAGAGGAGGCGGCCGTGGTGAGGACACTCTACTGACCCTCGGATGGAGCCAGGGTGAAGAACAGAACTGTGGCATCATTAAAATGCTTTGCTAGGATTTGGGCTTTTCTTGTCTCAGATGCAGAGTGATTTTACAGAGCCATCTAGTGGATTATGAAGTTTTCAGAGCCTTGCTGGTGGCTTGGACAGCTAGATGCCTTTTCCCAAGTCCTGAATGATTTTCTTGTGCCATCTGGTGGATAGCAGTAAATCTTCCTCATCTTCAGATGAGCTTCCTCCCTTCAAATCAAGGAGAGTTAATCGCAGAGAAATTTGAAAT